TTCTTTTTCATTTTCTAAAATATCATTTTTCCCACTTGGCTTTCCATTTTCGCCTAAAACATCATCATCATTATCATTTATCAAAAGAACATTATTACCCATATCTATCACCGTGTGATTTTCAGTAAGGAATTTTTCCCCCAAAATACCATCTTCCTGCATTATACAATTGTTACCTACTAAATTAAATTCTGTATATATTTCTTTATTATTAATTATTATCGGAATAACTATAGTACCATACGTTGGTATAATTTTCTCATGAATTCCCTTAAGATAAACCCTTTTTAATTCGTTAACCATAATATCATCTTTTACCGTGCTAATTTTTAAAATATTAATCTGAGAGCCAGTATCGACTAGCAACTGAAAATTATCGTTTTTGCTAGCGTTACTATTACAAAAAATATGCTTATTTATCATTGTCGTTCGGGTGATTCTGAAACAGTCTGAGATTCCACGGCTATTTGCCTCACGACGCGCGTCCCGTGACTCGCGGTCGGTTCCTGAAAATTTTCTGCTTTAATCGCGACGTTCCCCATATTTGCACGTTTCGCGTCATTTTCCCTTTTATAGCAAACAGACTCCCCGTGCCCGATTTTGCCACAATAGTTACAGACAATAGGACCCGCATTATTCGAATTAAAATTTCCCGTTTGATAATTAGTATTTTGCCTATTTTGCTGAGGTGGAGGTCTATTATTACTATTGCCATTGTTAGTGTTTAATCTACAATTATATGATAAATGACCTATTTGGTTGCAAATCCTACAACGTCTATTATCTTCATTAGGACGATTACCATTAAAATTGTTACCCCGATTATTATTGCCATTATTCCTTGGTGACTGAAAACCTCTATTCCCGTTGTTATTTTGACCCGTATTAAAATTATTCCCTGCGTTTTGCGATTTAAACATATCCTGTACCCCTCTATAAGTAATCAAGTCCTTTTCGGCTAGGACTGCGGTTTGCATAGCGCTATCAAGTGTAAGAGGATTTTTAGTTTTAACTTCAAATTTAAGTTGTTCATTCAACCCATTAATATAACTAACCAGAGCCTGTGTTTTTACATTTTCATTTATAATTTTCGCGTCTTCTTTTGATTTTCCCGCAGCTAAAGCGTTACATAATTTTTGATAAACTTCATCTACCCGTTCATTATAACTATTAACTGTTTCATTTTTGTTCATTCTTATTATATTTAATTGAATTTGTAAATTAGCCGCTGCAAAAGGTGTTTCAAACGCGTCAAGCAAAGATTTTTTCAACTCCTCCCATGATGCTAAAGTTTTATATTTAGTACAATTAAATGCACGGCCCGTAAGCTTGGTGCTTATAACCATTTTTAACAAAAGCGGTATTTGATCGGCATTAACTGAATTAATTATTGCCTCACATGCATTTAAAAATTGATAAATATCCGTTTCACCGGAGTATTTAGGAGTTAAATGTAACGCGTCCGTTAAACTTAAAGTGGGAGTTGTAGACATCGTTGCTTGATTAGTTTCTACGTCTGGTGTATTAGCCGTAGTTTCTGTGTTAATTTCTTTTGCCCTAGATTTTGTTTTCCTAACCGTTTGTAGTTCAACATGCACTACACCTAGTGTACTCCTAGTTAATCGCCTATCTGCTTCCCTAAGTGTTGTGTTCAAAAGGTCTATCGGGTCGGTTTCAGATTCCTGATCAATAATAATAGAACTACTGTTACTGTCGTCTAAATTAATTAAATCAATTTCACTAGATTCTAACGTAACCTCAGATAAATCTAATTCTTTCTTAATGTGAGAAGTGTCTAACTGCTTATTATTACTCATACAATCAACTTAATTAACTTATTTATATCCTTATATTATAGATTACTCACAACAGAGCGTGCATTTTGAGTCGTCTGGTCGTGTCAAAGAGCGTCGAAGAGCAAGAAGGCTGGAATTTCTTCAATTGGTCTTCCGTGTGATGTTGCAATCAGTCCCGCCTTTGACAATCGTACCGTATCTGCGCCAGTGTAAAGTTCCAGCAGTCTGTGGCCTTTGGATACTTTAACACACAAGTGGTTGAAGAAGGAAGATGGATGTTTCGTAAATAAAGTTAATACTTTTAATTAAAATAGGTAATACATGTATTCCAAAATACGCATTAAGTTGATACACAGATAATAAAATAAGTGCTTGTTGCAGGTATTGTCATAATACGCGGCCAAGACACTTCTGAGGGTGCTGTGGTGAAACGGCTGGTATTTACGCAAAATGTCCATCCGGTTCGGTGGAAGGAGTTCTTCGAATCCCCGCCTCGGTGACCTTTTCTCAGTTGTGCAAGCGTTAATCCGGGTTGTTGGTGAATGGCCAAGTTGTCTTCTGCTAAGTGCCTAACATTGTCGGATAGATACAATTTATGTGTTTGTTTGTGCGTTTTTACAATCTTTCAGTTGTACAAAATATATAATTTGCATAAATAAATTGGCTTTTACAATTTATAATTTGGATTTTACAATTTATGACGTTGTTTACATTTTGGTTTTATACAAAGTGTACACATATTAGTATTCAAGGAGAAATCGGTCATGACGTAAACATGGCTGGACTTAGTAACCCATTACAGTAGTAAATCTCCTGGACTTGATAATATAACTCCTGAAATAATTTAAAAAATTGGACCTTTAATTATTAAACCTTTGACTTATTTAATTAACTTAAGTTTTTAATCAGGCATTTATCCGAAAATTTAAAATATTTTTTAAACCTAAACAATTTTATTAACTGTAACCAATACGGTTTTAGGAAAAAATATGGGCACTCGTGATGCATATGCTTAGTCTTACTTATGAGGCACTTGATCAATGTGACAAATGTTTGGCTATATTTATTGATAAAGCCAAAGTGTTTGACTCTGTTTCTCATGACATACTAATTTACAAGCTGCAAAAGCTGTTAGGTAAAAATACATTTTTAGACTGGTGTAAATCTTACTTATCTGAGCGTACTTAAGTAGTAAGAATTAATAATTCGATTTGTGATATCAAATTTGCTACATACGGAGTACCTCAAGGTAGGTACTATACTCGGGCCTCTTCTATTTTATCATATTTGATTATTTTATCATATTTATGATTAATTTGATCTAGATTTAGCGGGTAAAGTTTTAGCTTATGCAGATGATACTGCACTATTTTTTAAGGCAAGAAATTTGATTGACCTGGAGTCATCAGCTATAAAAGATTTTATTACAGTAAAAAAATGGTTTGCTACTAACTCTCTTTCGTGTAATACAAGCAAAACTGTTTTTATGACATTGCTTTATCCACTGAACTGTAGGTATATAGTTCAGTGACTTTATCCAATGTTTATCTACCTAAAACAATTGCATTAGAAAATTATTGGTCTAAATGTTTGGGAAATCTAAATTGCGACTTCAATTGTTTTAAATCAAATCGTAATTGTAAAGTTAAATACTTCGGAATTTTTCTCGATGAAGAACTGAAATGGAAAACACAAATAAATGTAAGTACAAAAAGACTAAGGAAGCTTTATTTTGTGTTTAAAGAATTAAATATGATCTTGGATTTATTTACTTTGTATTTACTAATGTATATATTTTGCTCTGGTTCAGTCGGGTTTATCATATGACATAGTACTGTGGGGGTCAACGTACCCATTTACTAGGTTTCGAATCATTAAATGTTACACATAGAAACAATCGCATTAAAAGGATAATATAATAGTATAAATACGTCACAACTATTTGATATTTTCAACGTATTTAATATAAATCGATTTTATGATTATTGTTCAATTATTCCATTGCATACAGATATATATACTCAGAGTAGGTAATAATAACAAAATTATTTAATTAAAATCTCCGAAGAAAGAAGATAGAAGGATGTCTCAAGATTCCAAAGTACAGTACTACTAATTTTCAAAATTACTACTTTTATGGAGCCACATTAATATTTAATAAATTGCCTATGGAAATTCGATTAATTAACGATAAGAAATTATTTAAGCCTAAGGTTAAACAAGTTATTTCTCTAAAACGCAATTAATAATTAATACCAGAAATGCTTGTTATTGGCATTTGGTAATATTTTAATTAAATGACATGTTTTTCATCATGTCTTATCTCTGCTAAATTTTATGTTTTTTTTTTAATATAACTAATTTGTTTTATCTTTTGGTATTTTATGTTTTCAATGTGTATATATATATATGTTAGAAAACCCCCTTAACACAAGCTTGCTTAAAGAGAGGGGTAATCAACCTATTTGTATTATATTATCTAGGTACTTGACCATTGTTTATACTTCGTTACCTTTATTGAGATGAGTTGAAATAAATATCAAAAAGAATTAGAAAAAAACAGTAGAAAATAACAAAAACAAGGGTTTAATTAAAATTAACTATTTAAAAGACACTTTGGGAGTATGTATTGGTGTACAACTGCTTGTGAATTCTGTTGATTTACTATACAGTAAGGAAAACTGCAACTAAACCATTTATAACCTCATGTGACAATTCTGTAACAAACCTGAAAATTCCCGCCAGACAACGCACTAAGTATATTTTTATTTTTTTGTATTGCCTTTAGCTAAGCCCTTCACAATTTTTTACATTTTTTCTATCTTGGACTACAAAGAGTTAAATATATTTTAAATATACAGGTTAGGGAAGGTTAGGAAATATACAGGATTTCAAAAATACGCATACAAACAATTTTTATAATGTCTTCTTTTTTTTCATGGTGGTTCATAAAGGATAGACACTCAAATTCTGTTTAACTAATTGCAATTTCGTAGTTTTATTTAGGACACTAGTTTGTCATTTTACATTATAAGGCATTTTTTTTCTAGAGCTCTATCAACTTTTAAAACTTAAATGGTATTTGATGTACTTTTGAAATTAAAAATAATTATTAAATATAATAAAATATATTTTTCAATTACAAATAAATTATAACTGTCCATTCTCTCATGAAACATTTATTTTATTTTATAACTATTATTGTGTGGAGAAACGAATGAGTCAACATACTATATATAATTATGAATATTATGTAGCGTCCAGAATGTATTGTTCCACAAACTTTTTTTATCATCGCAACATAATTAATGTGAATAAACATTTAAAAAAGCAATCGATTAGATTAAATTATAAAACCTAATCAAACATCATAAACATATGAATGCTTTACATAAAAATTACAATACAATTTGAATTGGTTTAGAGCACATTACTGAAGGTCGACCATAATAGAGGAAATTTGATTTAAAATAATACCTACACAACATGTAAAATGCTCATTCAGACTGTAAAAGTATCAGTCAGCCTATATAATATAGAAGTAGATCAAGGTGTCATATATTAGGTCATATAGGTGTCGTATTCATTATACAAAACAAACATGTTTATAGACAATACTGACATAAATATTATAACTAGCTCAATAAATACAATACAAAATTATAAAACTGTAAGAGTATAAATTACGTAACAATACATAAAGAAAATATCTTTATTAATAACTGTAGAATTTTAAGAACAATTTCTTATAAATGGATCTGTTGGAATATGCTCTTGGTTAATGTAGATCCTGTCAGTTCTTTGTTACCTTGAATGGCGTATTGAACTTTTTCTCGTATTTCCGACCTACTCAGATCACCTCTTAAACTTAGCAAGCGCATCATTTGATCTTCGGTGATATCAGGATATATTTTTACTAATGTGTGTAAATCTAATGACAGTATTTCTGAGTCCTCACTTTTAAGAACTTCTGACAACTTGACAACAGCATCGAACGGTGAATTATTATCACGTTTTACAACAGGTGCAACACGAGAAAAAAAGCTTTTCAGCTGATCTACTTCTTTAATCATCTTATCAGCAGCTGATCTTCGCTCCTCATAAGTCTTGAATGTTATTTTTTTTTGTAGCATAGCCATTATGTAACGCCGTACAATTATGTCTTCAGCTTCAAGAATAATGTACTCAAAGTTCTTAGGTTTTAAATGAACATAATCTTGAAAATAATCTTCAAGAGTAACGCAAATAGTTTCAATCGATATAAAGCTAGTAAGCCACTTTGTAGTGATTAAATCTTGAAAATGTGAATCCAAGTCTAAGAAAGCTTCTTCTAAAAGAAATTGTGCCGCTTCATCTCTAAGATTTTGAAATGTCTTTAATAGTTGTTCATAAGCTGTACTTGACTGATCTTTGAATTCACTACTCCAGTAGTGTTGTTTCATTTCTAATGCAAGTTCAATAAATTGTAAGCAATTGTTTAGTACTGTTATTATGCATTGTGTGAATAATGGCACTTTACTTCTGTCTTCAAAGTGTTTTTTCTTGAATTCAACTACAGCCTCTTTGTAAGAGGATCCGTAAACAGTTATGCTATCAACACTTAACAATAAAGCTCTATGCGTTAAGTCTTGGCTAATAGTTTTAGTGACTTGCAGGTTTTGATCAATCATTTGAAATATTATTACAGGAGCAGCTGTATGAAAACAACTGTCAGGGCCAATCTCTGGCGAAGTTCCCGCATACCAGTCATTTTTTTCGGTGTCTAATGTTTTTAACATCCAATCTTTGTAATTATTTCTTATGTACTCCAAATATTTTGATTGCAAATCGTTTACAGCTGATGGTTCTAACAATGGGCCTATCATCCTTATGTCTATATTTAACTCAGGATGACGCATTAAATCTATACCAGTATATGTATTTATTACCCATGAAATTATTGACACATACTCATTGCCTTCAAGGCCAAATGATATTATTTCTTTTAAATTTGAAGACAAACTAGAATGATACATATTGACAAACTTATCAAATATATTATATTTTGGTGGAAAACATGGAACGCAAAGAGTTTTAACTACTCTTAAATCTTCAAGTATTAGTTGTCGACAAAGTTCCAAATATGTTACAAGCCACATTTTATTATCCGATCGGTCATTTACCTGAGTGCCTTCAATTCGTTGATCAACACACTTTTGGAGTATTTCAAAAGCTAAATCTTTCCATTTTTTTGGACGACCAGGAGGTATAAAACCAGACTGCTTTTTTCGCTGAAGAGCAAATGCATCAGATCGTTCCTCTCGCTCTATTATTCTTAAAACAGTTACAATGACCATAGGCTCCTTCCTTACCGTATTTAATGTCCTACTTAAAACTAATTTAATCTGTTTGCCTAACATATCAGACACAATTTCAACATCCTCAAAATATGCTTTAAGAAGAATTTTATCAGTCTGTGCTTGATTTGGTAACTTATACACCTCAAACAGAAGATCATCTCTCGAGTTCTCTAGATCTACTAAACACTGATGAGCGTGTAACAGTTTTCCATCGTTGATCCACTGTTTTGTTTTCTCGATACTTTCTGGCACAGTAAACAAGTGTTTCATATTTTCGTTAGCTGTCATATATTGGGAATGTTGCATATGTTTAGTACGTACATCTTGTAACTTATAGCCAAGAGATGGTAGAATAACAAATGATTCTTTTGTATCTTTTAGAATTTTTTTTACCTGATTAATATCATTTAAAGCATCTTTTAGTTGTTTCATTCCAACTGTTACTCCATCTAATTGACTTTGCATAGCTGTTTTCAACATAGCTTCAGTAGATGTTTTCTTCCGTGATATTCGGCTCTTCAACTGCTCAACTTTTTCTAATTGGCCAGGTTTTTGGAGCATGGTTGTAAAGTATTTAGCAGCAGCAACTTTGGCATCTTTTCCCAACTGTTCTATGTCCATATTTAAAGTATCAATACACTAAAATAACAATAACATTATTATAGGTAGTATTCTGTATTATAATACTTGTAGTGAAGTGAAGTAGTGAGCTGCGATAACAATTGTTACTTAACTTAACCCTCGGGCAACCACGTCTTCTCCTGGACATTCCCACCCACGGCAATATACGGCACAAAGTGCTGTCGCACCGGTGCTCGAGGGTTAAGTTACAACACTCATGCAATAAAAACACTTTTTTTTACATAGATGTGTTACGTAGAATATTGGACAGAATTTAATATTTTAACATTATAATAAATATTTATTTTGAATAAATTTAAAATGTTTAACTTGTGTGAATTAATATTATAATTACAAGTATTGAAATAACAATACTTGTGACACTGACATTAGGTAAAGTATTTAAAATTTTAAATACTGTCAATTTATGAAAAATTGCTATTTACAGTAATAGTAGAATAATTATTAAAAATTTAACTTATTTTCTTTGCTTGCGTTTATTTTTCTACCTTCTTTTTACTTTTAAAGCTACTTATTTAATGTACTAATGTACTAATTTTAAAATGTTGGTTTAAAGTACATTAAAAATATTAAAAACTTATATAATATAGCGCGTCTTTGCATATTATTTTAAAAATATGTTAAATAAGTTGCTCCAACCAAGTAGGTAGTTAATGGCTGCCATTGTTACATTTAATTCAATTATTTTATAGTTTACGCTCACTTGCTCTCCACATTCTTACATATTCTAATTCAGAATATAAACATTTTTACTTACACTTTCAACAAACAAGGAAATTTGATGCCTAGAGAATTTTGACTAAAATAAAAAAATTATATCACAATATATTTAGTACATATTTTGTAAATAAATATTAAATAGTAAATACTTACCCCTTATCTATGTTTAGAAATTGGTTTTATCATTATTGATTACGACAACCGTGGCTCAAAACACTGACAAAGAAATTCAAATTCATTTTGTCTGGGCTGAAGTAATGGCAAAATGTTAATACAATTTATTATTGTCTGCTAAGACCTAATTTTGTATATAAAAATTAAAAATATGTGTAAATTAGTAAAATTACTAATATTTTTGTTTTTATTATTTAAAATGTGATTATCAAAAGTGATTGGTATAGTTAAAACCACGATTAAAGATATCTTCAACCGTGGTTAAAACCAAATAGTATAAATGATTTTATATTATTTATCAATTATCAATACTTTACTTGGCCAAGTTGCTTGCCGAGCAGGGATCTAGTAGTAGTATCTATTTTATTACCGTGTATTGATATTATAATAATTTATTGGATTTTGCTTTTCGTTTTATTAGTTCACTTAAGTTTTAACCAGTTAATGTAAAGTTAATGAGTAATGGCATTTATTTAGTACTAAAAAGTTTTTAGATTGGAATCTGCAACACAAATCAGTTTTTAAAAAAGGTAAGTGTTGTTATCCTGCTAAACATTATCAGATCAAACTAAAATTAACTCATGAAAAGATGGTATACATAATATTTTCCTGTTGTTATCTATTAACATACATCATCATCATCGTGTAGCTTAACGGGCCATGAAGGCCCAACACTGTCATCATGAGATGGTTTCTTGACGAATTCACTATCCGAGACAAGTCATCTATCGATATGAAAATAAAACGTTTTAGCTGAAAACACTATGAAGTCCCTTCTGTTTTAGCTGTACAAAAATAATATACAGAGTTTTGAACTTATCGTCTACCACTCAAGATATCAATTTCTCACTTATTTTGTTTTTACTCCCCTCCAAACTTAATGATGTAATAGATTTTTTTTATATAAGCATTACTTGAATTTAATTTTTACATAAAATAATATTAGGTTAAGTAGAATATAAAGTAATAAGTAAATAATAATAATAAAGATGGTTTATTTATGTTACTGACCACCTAGCCGTGGGACCCTTAAAAGTGTGGGGCTCTGTGCGTGGGTACAGCTTGCACCGCCTTCAAGCCGGCCCTGCTTATATAGTACCTAGGGATAACGTAATTTCAGTGAGGAAGGAGATGGTATCGTAGCAGAGGATTTAATAAGCAATTTTAACAGACTTATGTGCCAATTTCTTTATTTTTTGACATATTTATAACTTAAACTGACTAGTTATAATAGAGTTGGTGTATAAAAATACCAGGATTCGTATAAAGTTAAATGCAGGATGTCAACTTGTACAAACAACTTTCTTGTATAGTGAAGCCTTCATTGTTTTAAATTTTTAAGTATACTGTTAAATTTTGCTATTGGTCAATATTTTAGAGTTAGGTGTTTTTGCTATAAAGATCATATTTCAATGAATTTAAAATTGGTTTGTAATCATTTTTAATGTTTTCTGTACTTTGGAGTTTTAGCTTAGCATGGCAATATAGCATTAGTACAATCAGTTATCTTAAATTCACGTTATTAGCTTCAGTGTAGATAAAGTTTATCACTCATAATACTTTTTTAAATAAGTAAGCTTACAGGATCAAAAGAAGTCAGTGTGAAATAAAACAATATTTGTGTGTAGCTATGAAACTATTGTCCTTAATAACTCCTTGAACATGAGAATTCACATTGTTATCCGTTGCAACATATGTGCAACTATGTTATGTATAAATGTGTTTATTTTAATATAGATACTAGAGAATGTATTGGTTTTACAATGACAAATTAAGCATAATAAGTGTACATTATGTTTTTTGCAGAAAAGGAAAAAGTAAAATGTCTTGTAACTATGCTGATGGTTTATCACCTTATGAATATAAGGGAGAAATGGGTATGGAAGAGGTATGTATAAGGAAACAAATTAATTTTTTTACATGGCTTGTTTTATTATTTTCTTATTGTTAATTTTTTGTTCTAGATGTTTGATTCTCCCGATGAGTTAAAGTTAAAAATTTCACAGTTAGCCAAATGGATTAAAGACTCAAAGTATACTGTATTTCATACAGGTGCTGGCATTAGTACATCAGCTGGTATCCCAGATTTTAGGTAAATAACAAATAATTTAAATGTGTTAAATGCATTGATTGTTGTTGTTCAACTACTCAAAAAATGTATGGTATGTCATTTGAGTGTTTAGTAGTTAAACTAGCATATGCAACAAAAATTAACAAAACGAGATTGTATCCTATTCTAATATATTATACCATTGACTGATAAAAAGTATTTTCTTATGCCCTACGGTAAGTAAATGTGTGTAAAATCTATACAGGAGGACCTTAAAACTCTTTAGATTCAAGGATAGCTTTAAATTTACTTGTCTATAAATTTTTATTAACAATAGTAACACTTGTTTTGTATTTATATATATATATGTCATTAGCTTTATTTATTAAGTAATAGTATGATTATATTAAAGCTCACAATTTGTACCTAATGTGTTTTAACATGTACGTGTACCCGGTCTTAACGAATCAGAACCTGGACAATTTAACGTCTGTGTATTTTAAATGCACGTGTATTTTATATTTAAATAATTCATAATAGTATATTTAATGTTCTAATGTCCTTGTCTTAATTTGTTTGTTTTGTTATATGTAGTATATATGCTAAAAGTTCAGGAGATTATGAATTAATTTTATTAATTTATGTAGGTATATTGGTAAATAGATAGATTTACGTTAATACACTGTACATGAACTTTAATATAGTGATAAATGTGTATTTTAATTACACATACTTTAAATTTGTTGAAATAAAACACTACTCGTATTCTTAACTACATATGATATAGAGATCTCTATTTCATACAATTTTTAAAAAAAAATAATAATATGTATTCAATTTTAATATTTTTTCAGGGGACCTAAAGGTGTATGGACGCTCGAAAAAGAAGGAAAAAAACCAGAAGTAAATTTAGATTTTAACGATGCAGAACCAACTATTACTCATATGGCAATCAATAGTTTAGTTAATCAAGGTTCATATTATAGTCTATATTAAAAAACTTGAATTCAAATTTAATTTACCATTTTCTTTAATATTAAAAATGTTGTGGAATAGTGTTAGGTCAAACACTGTTAAAAAGTTATATACATAAAGATTTATTAACAATTAAAGGGTGTGCCAATTATGTCGTCAGTCAAAATATAGATGGCTTACATTTGAAGTCTGGACTACCACGTCAATTTTTATCTGAAGTGCACGGAAATATGTTTACTATGAAATGTATAAAATGTAAAAGGTAAATAAGTTTGTTAAATAAAAAATTAACGGTTACTTTAATAGTAATAATAATAATATAATGTAAAGTATAATAATAATATAATATCTGTGAAGAATGTGTGTGTCCAGCCCACAATGTCACTTTTTTGACACTAGGCTATAAGTGGCTTAATTTTCTGGTCGAGAAATCCTCTAGTAAAATGAAGCTATCATCTTCTTACTTAGACTAAGCATCTAGGCCGGTATACAAATGGTTAAGGAACTGCCTCTGCATAGGTGGTAGAAATAGCCATTAAGAGGACGCTTTATTTATTATGGAGTTTTGAATAGGCAATTTTTATTATGAAATACGGGCATTCGTTTGGTAGGTGACCTACCGACATTTTCTGAAGCTTAATTGGTGAATACCGGATTTTTTTGTTCAATTTTAGGTATGAAAATAAATTACCAATAAAAGCATCAATGAGAGTTGTTTTATAGTATGTATTGTTTTCTTATCGGCATGTAACCGATAAATAAACAGGTATAGATATACTACGCAACGCTGTCATAATAAAGTTGAAAGTCATCAATATACGTACATCAATGAGGCTCGTAAAAAAGGCTGTCAAACTTACTAATCAATTAGAAAAAATAATTTATTTTTCACTTATGACGATTTGAATTCCCGTTATTGATCAAAATTAAGTCATAGACAAATTTTAGAATTAGTTTATTATTTGGCTAATGATTTCTCAATTACATCGGTTTGTCATTTTTTTGTTTAGTCAAATGCTTTGCTAGTAGATTGGTTTAATTTAAGTAGGAATGTTTGTTGTATATTATTTGAAGATTCAGGGGCGTAGTGTGCATGTCGACTGCCCTAACGAAAAGGGTCGTATCTCGTTTTTTGCAACTTCTCAGGATGAACCAAACAAACATTCAAATTTAAATTCTTATTCTGTTTTTATCATATCAGTTTGAAAATTTTGATAACATGCTATATTATGTATCCAAATTTTCAAACTGATATGTTAAAAACCGAATAAGAATTTAAATTTCAATGTTTGTTTGGTTCATTCTGAAAAGTTGCAAAAAACGAGATATGACCCTTTTCATTGGGACAGTCGATGTAAGCACTGGTAAAACTTTAAATCAAAGGAAAAAGAAAATTGATCGTTCAAGATTAATACATTATAAATGATTTTCAAAATTATATTATTTTTTATCAAATATTTGAAGTCGTAGTGGTTTTTGTTATCCTTTTGCTGGTTTATATACAATAACATGTATAATTATAAAAATTTAGTAGATGAATAGGTCACTGTTGAAATGTTGGTAGGTACCAGTTGTCTGGTAAGTCACCCGCTAAACGAATGCCTAAATACGGCTTTTTTTAAAAGTAATTTGATAAAAATGAATTTTAAACAATGATTAAAAGTGAAGTCATTGGAGACATCAATAAAAACTGACTATATTATACAGTTTATAATGTTTTCCATGTATTTCCAAAATTCCAAAACGATTACCACAAAAAAAAAAAAAAGTTTAAGAAATATTTATAAGATACAAGAAACAAAAACAGTGTCACGCCTGAACTTACAGCTATGGCGTCCTCTTAATAAGCTTAAAAAAAAAAAAATTTTAAGTATTATGATAAAAGTTTTAATTTTAAGCACAGAATATTAGTAATAACGTAATTTTAGAATGTTGATTAAGTAATGATAATTAAAAATGATATATTAATGATGATTTTTGTTATTTAGGAGTTTCGTGAGTAAAACTGCTGTACAAACTGTAGGTCAACGATGTCTTAATCTTAAATGTATGGGAGTAACTAAAAACGGTCACCAATGTCGAGGTGTTCTGTATGATACAATATTAGACTGGGAACATCAATTGCCTGATGACGAATTAGAGTTGGCCGAATTACATTCTAAGTAATATTTAAAACTAACTAATTAGTCATACATTTTTAGTAAAATTGTTATAATATTATTCATAAGTTATTACAACTGTTGTTTTTATAGAATGGCTGACTTGTGTATTTGTTTGGGAACTTCTTTACAAATCCAACCAATCAACCAAGTGCCCTTTTATGCTAAAAAGAATTCAGGAAAAGTCGTTATATGTAATTTACAAAAAACTAAATGTGTAAGTTTTCTTAAATTCTCATGTTATTGTTCTAACTGAAAAAAAATGTTATCATTCTTTTATTTTTTAGGACCGAAAAGCTGATTTAGTTATTCACGCTTATGTAGATGATGTAATGAGATCTTTAATGGAAATTCTTCAAGCTGACATAGCTGAGTACAATGAACTAAATGATCCCACTAAAGAAGTTAAAATAACTGACTGGACAATTTATAAGGAGCATTTAGAAGCAGTTCGTGAACTAAAAAAACTTTCTATACGTAGTAGGAAACGAAAAAGACCTTCAAACGAAGATACACTCAAAACCGATAGCTGATCACTCTATTATAATAATGGCTAATTTTTTTTACTTAAGAGGGTTCTGCTACCTCAGTTGATTTCTATTTGCTTACAAGTATGTTTTTAAAAAGTTTGTCTATAAATTAAAGTTCTTAAACTATTTGACCCAATTAAGAAATGTATGCCACTTTAGTTTTCTAGATATTTTGCCTGACTTTTGGAGTGTTTATTATTGTTATTATGTAGAGTAGGTTCCAAGAAAAACTATATTATGACAATGAGTTTATATATTATACACAATTACACATGATCCATATGTGAACGACAACATGAAACTATACAGAGTATGTATATTATAGCACAAGTAGGAAAAGTTGGTCAAGGCGACAATGCATCCTTAGTTGTTTTTGTGGATCAAAATCTTACTATACTGGTTAACTTAGTTCTTGTAAGAGCTCACTTATCCAAATCCTTTTGGTAGATTCTCTGACAATTGCCACAATTTCTGCCTCTGTAGATGATAGATACACTGTTTTTTTGTTTCTGATACCTCTTAGGAAATTATTGAACTAAAAACCTTGAAACAGTAGCCGGTGATAGATTACCTGTTGGCTGTATCATTTTCCCAGTCGGCATCAGCATAACCAATTAGTGCTTGGTCATTTACCCTAAAAACAAGTTCATAATGTATGATCTGTTTTATATATATTAGAATATGTTGCAGGTGCTTGCAGCGTTTCTCAGTTGCTTTCTCTTGAAATTGTTTGAGGTTAAAAACAGCATAAGCTATGTCTGGTCGCGGTATATGTAATGTGCCGCTTATATAAGGCTGCCTATCAGCTCTATATGGTTGACTTATCTTTTCTTCATTTATTTTATTTGAACTCAATCGTACCTCCTTAGGTGTCTTAATCGGTTTGCATTGGTCCATATTAAATGTGTTGAGATATGGTTGGTCAATTATAAAAAAATCAAATACTTAATTGTCAACATCTCACTTGATGTTCATACCGAGAAAACTGTGACAAGAGCCTATGTCTGACACTTTAAACTTTTTATGGAATTTTAACTTAGTCTCTTCAATATCTGCTATATTTGGATCAATAATAAGTATGTTATCAACATTAATAATAATAAATAAGTTTATATTTGACTTATATACACAACTGTCAGACTTGAGCTGTTGAAAACCAATTGAAGTGAGAAATGTATTAAACTCATTGTTTCATACTTGTGCAGATTTTTTTACACCGTACATAGGTTTCTTTAATTTACATATCAAATTATTGTTGACCATGTATCCATCTGACTGCAATATATATATATATATCTTCCTGTAGGTTACCGTTAAGAAAGGCGGTACACACGTTCATATGTTGGATTTTCCATTTTTCTTTGTTCTCAAGAGTTAGCAGTACGCGGATGGTTGTTATATTGGTCACAGATAAAAATGTCTGTTATTAGTCAAAACCACGTTACTGTGTAAATAATTTGGCAACCAGTCTGTCTTTAAACCTTAGAATGTGCCCTGCTCTATTGGTTTTAGTTCCGAATGTCCACCTGCATCCTATCAGTTTTAAAAACTAACTTATTTTGAGCAAGTACTTCAGAAAACTTGATTTAAAAACCAATATTACATTTTTTACTTGGTGAGGTTTTTTATATAGTGATTTTGTATTAAAGTATTAAAAAACAAAATTAAGTTATTTGAGGTATTAAACTTCTAATATCATTTACCCACATCCAATTTACATTTAATACTACCTTTTCTTAATGTTTGCAAAATTCTGAAACGTATCCACAAATAAAATAGAATAGTTTGAAAATATTTAATTCTACATCTATAATTACAGACGTGTTTAAAGTGCATGTGATGTAATACCCAATAAATAAATAATATTGATACCTTTTTAGAGGCTTGTAACCAGCGGTCGGCTGCCTTTCGTTAACGTTCCCAAACCACACTGCCATGCAAGTCAGGAGTGCATTCCAGCCAATGTCCAACCAAAATGTACTAAGTCGGTTTGGCCGCCATTCATTCAAATTTTAGACGTTTTATTTCGCCAAATCACTCTGATATGATTGACTACAACGTACACGAGTTTTCTTAACACAAATTGTAAATATAATTTATAATATGTATACATGTAAGCACCTATTATAATTTTGTTTGGATTCCCTGTGTTCAATTCAATTCAAATTTGTTTTCGATCATATGAAACTAAAGACTTTGAAATCCAGATGCTGAGATCACGGAATTCTACAAAATCACAGGGATTCATTGTCTCGATATACTTAAATAATCTAATAGTAGCTAAAAACAAAAATTACCAAATTAGGTTTGTTAGAAATATGTTTTTTTGGATGTTTAAGTTATAGTTAAATTAACCACCGAAGGTAAAAAATCCCTTATGACCACCACCGATTATTAATAGGAGTCCAGTTTAAATAATATAACATGTTAATTATCTTGGAAAAAAAATTATCTGAAAAATGGAATAATCCAAATTTCTGAAATCTTGATTTTCCTTATACTAATAGCGAAATAGCTTAAAAATTGACTGGCCGACTGAATAACTAAATCAATGTAAAGTTTAAAAAAAACTGTGGTGCTACGAAAGGTGTATACTATAGAAATAAGAAAATTTCTTAATGCATCTCTGACGTAACACGGTGACTATGGAAGTGCTGAAGGTTTAAATAAATGCTTTTGAACAAATTAGGAAGTCTTAATTCCAACAATTGTACTTGGTCGGCATTAGTGATTTTTGTGCAACACAGGTTGGCATTATGTCAATCAAACCAAAAATTAAAAAATGTTTTACAAGTATCTGATTAACAAAATAATAAAATTTAATACAACTTAAAACTTTCGTTAAAGAACTTAGTTTCTACTTCAGAATAACAAGAATATTATTATTATTGTTATAGTTCTACCAATAGTCAATACGCTTAAATAAATAAACATTTCTAGCTCGTTTATTTAAAATATTTGAGATAATTAGTAATTAAAATCTATACATATTTGTATTTCGACATTTTATGTTTACTTAATAATTAATACTATTGTACAGATTAATGTCATTGCAAAACCCTACTATTCTACTATTCCTACTGATCATTTTTTAATTATGTATTATATTCTAGTACTTAAGATATAAAATAAATAAATAATTGTAAAGAAATAAAATACTGAAATATTTAAAATTTAAATGAACCCTTAACCACAAAAATAATACGTATACACTATAGTACTATTTTTATGGTTAAGGGTTCATTTAAATATTTTATTTCTTTATTGTATTTATATAACTACAAGTGTTGCTTACGTTTTTTCTAAATACATTGTTAATTATTTTAAATTTGTAGTTTGTTTTTTATTACACCACTAGAAAAAGTTGATTACAAAGTTACAAAAAAAAAGTAACGACCACTGCCAGTTCCAACTTTACCCTAAGGCTCTGATCCCAGGGCCCCCGGATGTTTTGTTTGGTTTTCTTAAAAGGCCTCTGTATAGCCAAACACATCCCTGGTCACTGCAGTGTCTGTTTACACGTTTAACTGATTAATAATTAAGGCCCTTTTTTTTATAGTAGTCACTGCTGCAAATGATGAAAACATACTGGTAAAACAAATAGCTAATGTTAAGTAATACAATATCTTTTTCAATGCAAACGTCACACTTATAGGTCACGTGTGAAAGTTTGAAGGATTGAGTTATCCTACAGCCTACTACTGTAAATATCTTATGTAATCGTTAATAGGGTCATAAACTATGTATATATACATAGATAGATTATGACCCTATAGGCTATATATATATATATATATGTGTAGTTTACATAAGACTGTACAAAAAAAAAATGCATCAATTTTCATAAAAATAAAATTGATAAAAAAAAATTGTGTCGTTACATTAGGTATAATACAATTAAGTGGTGTAAATACTTAACCTGACTCAACATTGCTTATATTTTGTTGTATAATTATTTTTATTTTATTAGCAAAATTAACGTCAGGTACCTACTAAAAATTAATTGAATGAATATCAATGGATGTACAGAAAGGATTGAAATTCTATTCCTTATAAGCTACTGAAAATACTAAAAGGACTTATTTTATTCACTCTCCTTATCATAATAACCTAATGAAATTATGACTTCTGGATTATTGTGTATGTACAAAAGCTGAAGAAACCTGATATAATGATATTTCGAAAGGATACATTAGATAAATGAAATTGTTCATAGTTTTCCAATATGCCGAAGGAGATAACTAGGTATATTATAAAAATCAAATTCTTGTAGCATTATCGATTCAGTTCAATATAAAATCACAATTTTAAAGTGTGTAATTTTCTATTCAAAAATGTACATTGTTTTTGTATTATTCATTTTTTGTATGTAATCGTATCTATAGGTAACTAACTTTTTACTTCCAGTTTACTAAAAATTGGCTGATTCGATCGCGCTGGTATTAAGGAATAAGATAGGTAACTCACTATATTCTTTAATAAAAAAAATCAATCATTTTTGGTGTTGCTGTAATTTACATTACGAACATTTTCAAATTTAAATATTAACAGTAGGCAGTTGTATTTTGTATTCTAAATATTAATCATCATATGATTAAATACATAAGTACATATAAAATAATATAGTTAATACGTTAAAGAACGATACACACGACATTTGTAACATTTTTGCAAAACAAGGGATAGAATTTTGTAAGCATGATGTTGACACTTGACATTAAATAAAATATTAACATTTATACTACGCCCTTTCTAAATAAATTGTGTTTTATGATTATTTTTTGACTTACACTAATTTAAGAAATCAATTTTCGAAATATAAATTTAATAACTTAGATTGTAAAATTATTTTTAAAAAACTTCGGCTGCGCCCCGTAAGTTCTTAAAATATTTTCTAATAGCTGATGTTTTTGGAAAGCTGTATTAGAAAAGTGAGATTGTTTATTAGTGTGTAGTCTGATAGTCTGAACTCGGAGAAAAAAATGAACAGCATCAATTTTCATTCCTCGTATTCTAAAATATACAAAAATCTTTTTTACTCTAAATTAAGATTTTGCAAAAAAAATGTCTATCCGAACGCCTTAAAATCGCATGTGTAGCGTCCTCTAATTTCAACAAAAACACTTCGTTAACTTAGTTTAAATGGTAAATTTAGTTAACTTGGCCGGAAGTCGAAAGTTTGTTTTCCTACTTCTACTACTAAAACTAACTTCAGTCAGCTAAAACTAACGTCAGCATAGACGTACCTAGTGGTGGAGACTCCCTCGATCCCTCTCTGACCACATCAGCATCGTCCTCTGACGGCGCAGAAACTACACGCAGTAAAACAAGTATCTCGAGACCTCAGAAATGTTGTACTACTTTGCTTGTAACTAAGAAAGTATTCAACCAAATTGTATGTTTATTTTCCCGTACCCTTCTAAACAACTTTCCTAATCTACTAATATCTCATATAATCAATTCTGTTCAGCCGTTCACTCACAAAAAGGTGGCAAAATGTATGTTAGAATTTACACGTGTTTAATGGAATTGCGATGCTTTGTGTATACTGTATACACGGCGGTGGACAATACGCTATTTTTTTATTTAGCTCCGCGCCACTATCGTGTCGCTGCCCGCTGGATACCAAACGTTAATATATAATATTATAATAGTAAACTATATGAAATAAATTACTAAAATATTGGTATAAATGCGCTTTACAATATTTATTATTGTATAATGTACACAGTATATCAACAAATTACAATATTTATGGTTAATCTATAATTTAGATAGACTAATGCTGGCACGTAGTCAGCAAATGCCCAATATTAGGCCCTTGTTTTATTTTCCATAATTTGTTTCCAATAAAAACTTGTGGGGGGCTTCTCCCTCATCGTACTAATTTAAAATTTACCTTTGGTTGACTTGTATCTTATTTTGTATTTTAATTTTAAGATACAAAATGCATAGTACATTGTCCGCTCCTGTTGAAATACTTTTTTATTTGCTGGTTTGTACAGTCCCCTACCAGATCTAAATTATCCGATGAAGTATTCGAACAACTAATGTCCCTAAAAGGCAACCAAAAGTTTATTACTCAACATGTAAAATAAAAATTAGAATGTTCAATATTATTTAACAATAATGAGATTAAACTGTGATTTTTTTATATGTATATAATATATATTGACTACCTATGTATACCTATGTATTATAATTTATAACGACTAAATTGTTGGTACAAAAATAATTATTATTTTTCGTTTTGACCGTATTAATAAGTTTATCGACAATTATAAGATTAGTTTTTGTTATTATTTTGTTTTACATTAATATTCGATAATATGTTAATAATCTTAGTACATGTATCACTATTATCTTATGTTGCTAAGAAATCATGGTAATCGTGGGAAGCCAATTTTTTTATAGTTTGTTGCTGTTACTTTGTTGGATAATTATGTACTTTGTATTAATAACTACATAAAATATTAATATTTCAATATTTTTTAAAACTGAGATAACATGGTGTCAATAATGCGAAGTACTACTATAACATGTTATAAAATAATTTCCAAGTATAAAAATGTTATATAACAAAAAAAAAAATTATTAATCATTACAGAATTTGTATTTTGACCCGATATTTTGTATATTGTATCTTAAAAAAAACACAAGATGCTATCTTGCTATATCTTGCTATATCTATAAGATGCTATATCTTGTGTCTTATAACTTAAGATACTTTATTTTATATTTAGTCGAAAAAATACTGTATTTTGTCCATCCTTGGTCTCGGCGATATTAATTATTCATAGGCCTGCTGTTTTTATCTCAACAATAACTATCCCTGTGCCATCTTCGTTTGTTTCAATAAGTTTCCATTTGATGCCACTTCAAACGTATGTGACTATCCTGTACTACTTGTTACCGCTACTAAATCAAAGCCCTGTTTTATTTCCAGTTTTCGTTAGTATCTTTTCATCAGCTATGTAATGTAAGTGTATTGTAGTAATAGAACGTTTACATTTTCATGTCGAGATATACTTAGGACATTTCGCATTATAATCTACTATAATTATTATCTTTTATCATTTATTGAAGTATCCGAACATCATTATTCTTCGGCCACTAACCCTGAAAAGAGTTGTTTTGATTTTGACTGTGATAATGGTTTTTTATCTTCTTCTTTGTAATACTACCCATTAAGGCAGAAGGTTCTAGACCCAGTTCGCCGATAGGTTCCCATATTCTTAGCCGCTACTTGATACTCCAAGTGGCAAGTAGTCAATGAATAGTTACCACAAATTCTGTCGGTATTCATATATCTTTTTCAATAATTTGTCTTATAATTGATAATTGTTTTACTGTCGACTTCCACTTTTTAAAACCATACTAATCTATAGACTTGTAACATTAAGAAATCGGTCTAGTGGTTAAAAAGCTTTGTAGGCCTAGGTACAAAATAAAAACAATTAAAAACTCATAATTGTAAAATCAGTACCTTTTAAACTCCTCACCGAAGCTAAAAGAATTATTTATACAAATTTAGTATATTCCCTACTTTGTTGGGTACCTACCACCTATCAATAGGCATCTAAGACCCGTGGGGAATATCATCAGCGTTTAATCATCTATTATTTATTTAGACGGGCGGGTAGCCCAATTATAATGAAAATTATTATAGTGTACAATTATTAAAATACAGATCATCAGTTTAAGAAAGTAAACGATACAAATACACATTAAATCCATCGATAGTTACACATAGTGAAAGATCGACGTTATACTCATTTACTAATTTCATACATCTAATCACAGGAGCATTTATATTATAGTTTGTTGACTGAAATGGCATATAAAAAATATTTGACTGCCTAGTACTACGACTAGGAACAAAGCATTTTAAATTTGAAAGTAAAATTGGACAATAAATGTTTCCATTAAGTAGTTTAAAAATGAAGCAGAGATCTAGCCGTTTTCGTCTAGTTAGATTTACTCGTCATAGACATAAATTGGTAATTTATGCAATTTGGGAAAAGTGGTAGCAACCCCGTGGGCACAAGACGCGTTATCAGGCCTCCTAATATAATAACATGTAATATTAATGTAATATTAATAACAGCTGATAAGCGATAACGAAGCAACACGCGCTGGCGGTCGTCAATTTATTTTGCGTTAAACCATAGATTAAACATACATATTATGTATAATATACATTTAATCTATGGTTAAACGTTTCGTTATTCCTCACTATCAGTCGGCAGACACGCGGGTGGTGCGGCTGCTGATAACGGCGTCTCGTAGCCGGCAATCGGCGCGGCGGCTGTGGACAACGTGCTTTTGCGTGCACCGTGCAGTGGCCGGTAACGTAGCGCTGGTGCCCGGTGCCGTCACGTCGTCGGGGCGGGAACAACAGCTGCTACTGGCGCTTGCGGACGCGTGTGTGCCCGTCGACCCCGCGCGCACTGCTCCCTTTTCGTGTTCTACCGCAGCAGTCCGCATCGCTCGACGCGCACCCGACGCGACGTTAACCCGACGCGGCCGTTCCAGTCTCCAGTGGTGGCCGACGTTTCAGTTAGCTACCGTGCGAGTTAGCCGTAGTTGCTACGCTTGTCAGCTGCCGGTGTCGACGATACGCACAAGCAATCGTTATCAACGCCCGGTCCGGTGTGCGTGTGTCAGTTGAGTGTGTGTGTGTGTGTGTGTGTGTGTGCGTTTGTGTTTGTTTTCGCGCCGCGCTCTCGGGTACGTACGATTTCGGTTGACCGGTAATTTGTTGTTTTGCCAAATATTTTTAAAAAATCGCTTCTTTTGCGTGAAGGCGCTTAATCTCGGTGTAAATTTTTTTCGGGATTTCTAAGTAATATTGTTGTTGTTCTTGTTTCGAGCATCGAAAATGTCCGCTAACCAACGTCCGATACGTTCCTGTAGTTAACTACGGTCGTCCGATTAGTTTTTTCTGAATTGTTCGGTCAACTGGTACACAGTTTAAAAGTTTGCTTAGTCGATTGTGGATTGCATCCGAGATGACTATGTGTGACCGGAAAAGTACGTTAGCGTTTGCCATACTCTTTTTGGCCGCTTTGTGCAATATCTGTTTGGCGTCTCACGGACATGGGTTGTCCATGAAATCGGTGCAAGTGGTCAACTATACTAAATTTACTAACAATGACGAAAAGTACGTCAATGTTATGGTGGCTGTGTCGGGCAATGGGTTTCGGGAAGACATGAGGGTCAGGCTTACGTCCAGAGTAGCGTTGCGAGGATCTGAATGTTACAAAAACCATCCGATGAAGAGTATAGATTCCGATAGTCGCGAATTTAAACAGGTAATATTATACCCTAATAGATAATTTAAATAACGTAGCATAATAATTTGATTATTATTTGAAAGTTGTTCAATATTGTTTCAGTGGTATAGATACTTTGTAACTTATAACAATTGTTGTTTGTTTAAATTACAAAAAATATATTTGTACAACTTTAGAATACATTATTTAAAATATTATTACCTAGTTAGATATTTGTAAAATTTGTAAAGCTTAATGCTTAACCATTTAATGTTACATTTTTAACACTTTATCTTATATAAGAAGTATTTATGAATCAATTACACAGGCAAAAAGCTCACATTTTCTAAACTATATTGGCATTAGGTATTTCAACTATGAGCAGTACAATATATTACAAATTACAGCCAATTGCCACTTTTTTAAATGTATACTAATTGTTAAGTACAAAAATGTATTTATCTATTTGATATTTTTGGTGAAATATTTAAAATAATGTTTATGCTTATTCTAAATTTTACTTGCCATAATTTTGAATCAAATTTTGTATAGCCGTTGCTTAGAATTGAACAAGTTTTTATTAATTAAATATTATAACCATTATTTTAGAAAGCAAATTTAATTTTATTACACAAAAGTTTCAGTTAATTTATTTGCAATATTCGCTATGAGTAAATTTTTAATTGTTTTGTAGAACTATTACGTCATTTTACTTACTTAGGGTTTTTTTATTTAATTTAATTATGAAAATAATGAAATCAGTTAAAGTAGACTAGATTCCACATCCTTAAAGGTACGACAGTTGAAAGGCTGTTGTGTGCTAGTTTTTTTTTATTATCAACAAATATACCTAAATACACATTTTTAAAAACAAATAAACAGGCTAATATTTTGACTGTGTCAATAAATAAGTATACAAATAAATGGTGTAGTGCAGACAAAGTTTTTTTTTACTATTATTTGTAGGTCTTTACCAGTTGTATTATGTACATGGTCCATAGATGTGAGCCCTAAAAAATGCTGAACACGCACGCTCCCATTCTCCCAGTAACAGCATTAGCCCTCCAGTATTTATTTATATTATTTGTTTCTGTATTGTGTAAAATTATACTGGTATTCCGTGTTTAATATAAAGCTTAATAATAAAAAAAAAAAATTATAATATATAATATTTCATTGTTTTGGTTATTAAAAGAAATGGAAAAAGGAATCCAACAAAATACTCATAGGTAATAATATTTTAATATTTGTAACACAATTTATCACTAATGTTTAACTTATTTTTACTTACATACTTAAATGTTTATGTAAATATTATAAATGATATTAAATTGTGATTTACCTAAGTTTCAAATATCTACTTTGTCCTAGCCATCGTAAAAAAATTTAACCATGGAACGATGCATATGGATGTACGATAGATCTTTTTACATTTTTATATAACAAAATATTATACGGCTTGATAAATTCCTAAATAATATTCATTGTTTAAAATAAAAAAAAGTATTAAATATTCTCTGAAATAAAAAATTACCGATTTATTGTTATTTTGATACACTACAGTGTACCATACATATATCAATTTTTGTTTTGTTTTCTTGTCAAAAATCAATTTAGTTATGCTTGTTTTGGTCATTAGCATACAAGTGGAACATATTAAAACTCTCCAAATCGGATTTAAGACATCAGTTGTCATGCGATTATAACTGTCTCTTCCCGAGGACTCAATCTAATCTCTATAGTGTTTTCAACGCACTTGTTTTATCGCAGCTCGTTCTTACTTTGAAGACACTTGCAATTAGAATGAAACAAATAACTGTCAAGAAATCAGGCTTGACATTTTAAGTATGTTTGGACAGTAATTAGTAACTAATTTTTTCAAGTAGCAAGTCTATATATCAGAAATATACCTAAATGGTTACTGAAATGTTACTATATTGGACAAACAATTTAAAAAGTTCACCACTTTTTCTTCAAATTTGAAAAAATTTACATACCTAATTTTAACTTAAAAACTTTAAAATACGGCGCACTAAAATTTTGTTTTTAAATAATCTAATTATTTCTAAATTTGTAAGGAGTAGTCTAAAGACACAGTAATGTCATTATATGTCAACAAACTTTAAAAAAAACATCAAAATCCATTGTTAATTACGATGTATGGTAAACAACAAAAACAAGTTTTTGTAGACTGTCAACCTTAATCGTATCTTCACTATTACTAAAAATACAATTTAAGCTCTTTATTTTCATTATAAACCTTTTTTTTTTGTACTTCTACCATCTACAGATTGGCTTCAACGTGTTTATTTTAATGTGATTTTTATGTAACTTTAAAATTAAGGTTATTCTATAAAAGGGTAATAGCATGTTAGGTTTGTATTACCTACATTTTCTTCGGTCATTGCTTATAATTATTGTGGGTAGATGTTGGTAGGTATATATTTTAGTTAAGCAAACTTTTTATTTGTACGCGCTGTCCTATTGTTAAAAAATAGCGATGAGTATGTTAATTAATAAATAATCTTATCTATATGGTTTCTTCGAGGTTTATAAACCCCAAAGGAACCCAATACAGTAGTTAGAAAAGTTTACACTTTTATTCTGAAAGTATGGAAAAAAACTAGTTTTATTGTCAATTTTGAGTGTATAGACTAAATTGTATGTATAATCAGTTGCATTGAACTTTCTAAAACAATATTTCGCAATAGATCACAATTACTCACTTGATATACTAATCCTGGTATCGACAAAATGTCCAAATTATAATAAAAGGCCCTAAAAAAAGGCTACCCTAGTATATTATGTTAGTCAAATTTCTTAGATTAAGAATAAGCCATAATTGTTTGCCTAAATGTGCATTTCCAACATTAAATGATTCTCCTTTTGCAATCTTTATTCCAAATTGCATAATTGCGACCCACACAGGCAACACATATAATTTGCTACTGCTATTTTTGAATTATAAACTATTTTTTTGTTGAATAGACAATTCCCAATAATACACCTGATTTTGTTTTTTAATTAATTTACATTGATACTAATTACTTGAATAAAATAGTATTTCGATTTAAAAAAAAATAATACGACGTATTTCCTATAATGTAGGCGTTTACGTGTCATTAAAAATGTTAAACTAAGTATATAATGACGAATAATAATAATAATAGTAATAATAAAATTGCAGAAACTTATAAATATATGTCATAATGGTCTGCTGAGAAAATAAATAACAGACAAATAATTTAGACTATTATGCTATTAAATATGCAGTGTAGTTCTAGGAAAAACATAGGTATTACAGTATTACAGCGAAGCCTCTAACAAATGGTGTTTGTGGCGTTCTCTAAACCAGGATTAGACGGTTTGGTTTTTTTGGTAAAATCATCAACTTATGTAGTTGTTGGTAATGTACTCAAATCTCGACTCTCGATGCAACTAAGTGCACTCGAGTATAAAATACTACTACTGATAAATAAGCACAACCACAAGGTTATAGATATACACACACAACATGTTTAATTAATTTATTCGGAACGCATAGCGCCAAAACAGCTTAACCAAAAATCCATTATTTCAAGAAAAAACTAATTATAGTTTTTTAAATGCCATCATTTAAATGTCAGAGCCAAAACAGTTAAGTTCTGCCATTTAGCGGATTTTTATAGGATTGGGTCAGTTGGGTTTTGAAGTATTATATTATTCTAAAATGTTCAATATAATGAAACGAAATTTTATTTTTTATAAGTTAAGCTGTTTTGGCGCTTTACGCCTCATTTTAGAACTCTGTCTTCATTTATAACTCATTTCCAGAAACAATAAACATACAATTTTTAATGTTTGAATAACTTCTAGCATTATTATATGAGTATTACTTTATTTATATCATTAAAATTAAAACAAAGAAAGGGAGTAAGCTGAACGGAAAAAAGGAAACGGGAAAAGGTCGAAAAATACTTAACGAGAAGTGGTTAGTTGTTCTCAAGAGAGACCTTTTGAGTTGGAGTACCCTCTTCTCTTAGGGTGAGTAGGGTAATGGTCTTGTAGAATAGAGCAAAGAAAGAGGTTAAATGACCAACCTTATTTCGATGGTATGTAATGTAGAATAAAAAAAAAGAAACTGCCCAACCCTCCTGTATCCTTGCTTGCTTTATTACAATAATAATTCATGTAGTGTATTTCATTTATTAACGCTCGTACAGCAGACTATAGTGCAGTCCATGGACAAATAAATTATTAATTCCGCCTGTACGAGTAAAGTAGTAGAACATTTTAGTTTGTGGTCCAAAAAAAATAAAAACGTAATTGTAAATTTTTGTTTGATAGAGAGTACTGCATATTTTTGGTTATATATGTTCTTAAAAAATATTAGACAACAAATTTGAATTTATATTGCAGGAAACGGAAACACCCGTGCGTGCTATCATGCGTTTAGCCTCTATTGTGTTTACCAATCAAAATGCATAGCTCGTACGCTTTTAATTGCTATTTTGGCTTTTTATACATTTTAACACGAAGTGTATGTTTTATTGAATGCATCAAAAAGCATTGTTAAATTATTAACTATTTGGAAACTGACATTTATTTAGGAAATGTATAGGTATGCACGTTTACATTAGACGAAATACACACATACCCGACTGGATGTTCCAACTAAATAAAATATCTTGCTTATTTTCTTTATCTCATAGATTTTCCTTAAATTACGTGAGCAATAAATCGTCGTTGTAGTCTTACGTGTGTGACCACGGAGAAGCCTATATTGATTTAATGAGGTCGACTGAGCTGAGATTTAATTATTTTTTTTTTTATAGTTTATTATCCCGAGATTTTTAAGACATCTATTCACCTCTTTATAGTCTAACCCCACTAAAACTTAATTATTAGTTATTAACTAACGATAAATAATTGGAAGTGTAATTAAGTTATTGTTATTTTATACTTATTTATTTACTTTAATAACTACATAGTACATAAGTGTAGCTCGTAGTTGAATTTGTTCAAAATTTGAAGTACGTGTTACTGGCTATTCCCATTTTGTTGAAAAATAATGAACTTGCCGTGTTACTTTAACCAGCACGTCTATCCATTAGAATGCAATGATATTAAATTTGTTATAAGTTGTTGGTTTAAGTACTTTTAACAAAAAATATAAATTATTTATGGTATACAGTTGATGTTTAGCGTTGAGCTAATTGTTTTTCGTTTTGACTGTAAACTATTAAATTTTAATTGTTAATTATGTTTTTTAGGTTTGGTCAAACGACACAGACGCATTAATGAGCATCGCGTTGAAGTTCGATCAAGATTTAATCACAAGGAATTTGTACTTGTGCGTGAGTGTTCATCAACCGTCTACTGGTTTTGCATCTCAGATCTGGAGCGCTTTGGCTGGCGATAACGATTCACATAACCGATGGATAAACCAAGGCGACTCCGTTGCGCTTCGTTGGTCTGACGACCCAACCGTGCTATACAATAATGATTCCATCCAGAGGTCAGTGATAATCCTGATTGCTTATTCTCTTTATAATGAATGTCCTATAGCCTGTGTTACGTTTCAAATGCTTTTGCATTTAAAAGTCATTAGTATTTTGTATACAGTATGTATAAACAATATTTTGACCCAACGTGATACGATTTTCAAGCAATCCGTGTGTTATTCGAGTAAATCAGTATAGCGGTTCCATAGTCACACTAGGCACACACACACATAATTGTACAACAATGTCTTCTCAGCTTCGCATCGAAGTTAAAACTATCGTGGGTTGGTTTAGGGTTAGGCGTATCTCTAAAACCCCTATTTAGTTAACCAGCGATGGAAATGTTTTTTTAACTTATCATAGTAAGGATCAAAACATCCTTTGCCTCTTCCTATTAAATTGCCCGCCTAATGCCTCGTCCAAATTACGCCTATTATAAATCCTTATTTTGCGAATGTTTTTTGAAATGCTTAACGTTACTGGTCAAGGGTATTAAAGTATAAACAGTACTCTATAAAGTGAAGTTGGACAATATATTTGAGATAAGGGATCATTGTGGTATTTCCTACATGTCTTTTCTGGTGATGACATCATAGGCCAAATGTATCTCTCCTATTCTTGTCGACTGCTTATACTCATCGGTGCGGTGTGCGAGTAATGCTGCCTAATCAACCTGTTTTTGCTCAGATTTCACTAAACTAAGAGCGGCTCTTTTGTTCGGAATTTAAACTTTCTTTTGTCAAAAGATAACTGTTTCATATTATATTGTGTGCGTTGTAATTAATGGTAAAAATCCGAAAATGGGTAATTTTTGTTATAATTCCGTACATACTTGTCTCGACCCTCGGCACAAGCTCGCATAAGAATCAATTCAGCCGTTTACTGTATTTTTTTAAAGAACTTTGTCTGTACAGTTACATGTTGTGAGTGCTTATCGATATTCGATTTAGTTGCGTAAACGGTCGTTAAAACGTCGACGAACTCGTTACCAGCAATATGTATTCACTCTGGAAAGTAAAAATACAGGAGTTATTGGCTAATCGCATACCGAAAATGGCGTTGGAGAAAATGCCGTTTGTTATTTTTGAAACTATTACTGCATGTCTGTTGCGTTAAATAGTTAGTTTTTGGATTTTTTTTTAATTTCAAAACATTTAGACAGAGTTTACTACGCTCTGAACGGTACCCATCACAACTCATTAGCGGTTGTGTTTTCATTTTGGCGCCTTTTGCTGATTAGATGGTATACAAGTAATTTATAAACCTATTATAAAAAAATGAGCAAACAAAATTAAGTATTAATAAAGTACCTACTTAACAAATATTGTTGTTGTCTTAGGTTAAATGTCAATCAATAAAATTAATGTTTCGCAAGTAGTTAGTGGAAGGAAATTTTGATCGATGCGATTAAAATAGGATAATTACTAATTAACAAGCGGATTATGTTCACCATATTTACTAAAATCGCATAATACGTGTTAAATACAATTCACGTTGTTAAAATTTTTAGGTAATTGACATTATAGTTACAAAAAAGACGGTGTAATTAAATAATTTATTTAGGTATAAAATGTATGTTTGACACGATATTTTACAATTAACCAGCTATATTGTAGGTGTAAATTATAGTGTAAACAAATTTTTTTAAAGATATTAATATTTATTTTAATAATTATTAACTATATGAACTATTTGTATTTCAAAGAAAATATTAGCCACTGTTTGGCAGACTTGAATATTGAAAAATAAATAAAATGTATTCCAGTCCTCAATGGTTTTAAATATAGTATTTATAAAGTAAGTACTCTTGTTTAAACACAGAAAATGAAAACTAGTAATATTTATCGCTCCGGCTTTGCTAGACCGTAATATATTTTCATAGATTATGCGATATTAGCAATTAAACTTTTTTACTTTGATCCTTCGGGATGCGGTAAAACAAGTTTCGTTCGATGCTTTATACGACTGCATCATCATCCAAAATTAATCTAATAAGAAATCACTATTTGGTCTTACTGTCGGTTCAGAGCGCAAAAACAGAAAGAGTTATCCAATTTCCTCGACTTGTGATACCGTTCATGCTATATTATTCAATCATTTCGAACGTCACACAAGGGATCTACTGTAATCTGGTATTAGAATCGTTTTAAATCGATTTAGTTTCTCCCCATGCGGGTACTATACAATGCAGTCGAGAAATGCTTCAATGGCTTTATTTTATTTTCGTGTTTCTGAAAGTAGTTTCAACATTTCAATTATAGACCGAGGTTAAATGAAAATTCATTGTGCGTTTACCGATTTATGACTTTAAAGAGTGCTTACGGATGCTCTCTCGATGAATTTGAAATTAGTTGCAAATCAACCTCATAACGCTATTTTTCGATTTTAAAACATTTAAACTGTTAGCTCATATTATATAGAACAAATCTAATTTACAAATTTCAGACCATTTCAAAATTTAAGCGTCACGGCACAACACATTGCAACAAATATTAGTTAAAATAGAGTTTCCTGGTTATGGATTTAAAAATCGAAAAATGTATGTTACCCATCGAAACGGAGGTTTTTATGAGATCAAAATTGTTGAAATTCATCTCGGTTGCATCTGTATGTACTCTTTTAAATCGTTGAAAAGATAATCTTACAGTATTTACGATCAGATACTTAAATAATCTAACTTGAATCGATACTCGTAAAATTCCTTTGTGCATGATACGGATGGGTCATTTGGACTCGAATCGTTTTCTTTGTGTTCCACAATACTTTTCTACTTTAAAATACCAAATGTATTCTTAATTTGAGTGTTAAAATTTCCATTTACAGCCGACGACGACGTCAAGGGAGTACTTTGAAAAATGTCACTCCACTGGGTACTGCTTTTATATCTCCGGTGCATTTGTACGGTCTTCGAATGGAGTACTCGGATGCGGCTGTAGACTACGACGATTTGGGCGTACCACAGTTGTTGGTGCAGAGGAATGCAACGTTTCGCTTGTTTGGCAGCGGTTGGAGCGAAAAGACGTTGTTCGTGTTGACCGCAAAAATTGGCGAAAAAGGTGGACCATGTGAATTCCCATTGGGAGACATTCAAGAGGTGAGACGCTGTTGACGATACTTGCTTTTTCTGTAGGGTCGAGGAGCTTTATTTATCCCCATTTGTGTTTTATTTTTCAGGTGACCTTACTTGGCGACCAGAACACGGTCAGGTTGAATATTATTTTGCCGCAATCCAGTGCATCCGGCACGACACTTTATTTCTGTTCGAAGGAAGGCGACAAGCCAGGTGCCGTATGGACGCACATGGGAAATGAGTACTATAAACAGATAGGCGTCTACGAGAAAATGTTACCGTTTTGGCTGCAGCTGGCCATCATTCTCACCTGTTTGTCCTTCTCGTCGCTTTTCTCCGGTTTGAACTTGGGCTTGATGTCCCTAAATCGCATGGACCTGAAAATCATTTGCAACACCGGTACCGAATCCGAGCGCAAATACGCCAAGGCCATACTACCGGTGCGTATTCACGGCAACTACTTGCTTTGCAGCATCTTGTTGGGTAACGTCATGGTCAACTCCATATTTACAATTCTACTTGACGATCTCACCTCGGGTCTCGTGGCCGTTATTACTTCCACCCTGGCCATTGTCATTTTCGGCGAGATCAGTCCTCAGGCCGTGTGCTCTCGTCACGGTTTGGCCATTGGCGCCAAAACCATTTACATCACGAAAACTGTAATGGTCCTCACCACTCCTCTGTCCTGGCCCATCAGCAAAGCGCTAGATTGGGCACTTGGCGAAGAAATCGTTAGCACGTACAACAGAGAGCGTCTCAAGGAATTGGTTAAGGTTAGTGGACATTTTAGTTATTTCCTTATAAAAAATCTGGCGTGGAACGAGCCTATTGTACGATTAATATTAATAATAAAAAGACAAGCAAAATGGGTTAATTAAAGAGTACCAATATAGCGGTATAATTCACGTTTTAAAATATCTAGGAAAAGTATTTTAACATTGAAAGTATAATATAATTTTATTATATTATTGGGTACTAATATTCTTAAAAAACAATTTGTTTACGTTGGGATATATTTATATATATTAATACATACAACTCAAAAGAGTTATTATTTTTGTATTTAACTATTTCCATGTGTATACATAACATAATTGTATCCAAACATTCGGCTGTAGAGTAAAATCGGCAGTTATGATTAAGCTATCGATTATAGTGTCATTATCTCTTTGCTAATTAAAACTCATTATTGTACCCAGGTACCCAACTAAACTCTGTGTTAACGTATATATAACAAATATGTTTATACCTACAATACAGTAATGTTTATACTACAAATTACACCAATTGTTTGGTTAGTAATGACACAAACATATGATATATATAACGATTGATAAATAATAATGGCTACAATCACTTGCCACAGCGAGTTCAGGTCCCAGTAATGAATCATTTGGCCGTAGTAAACATATCTAAATATTGTACATGGTTGTATATTATATAGTACAGAGCAAAAGTTTGAATACATATTACATACAAAAAAAAACAACATATTTTTTTTAGCTTATTTGTTTATTTAACGAAAACAACTTACTTTATTTACTTAATTTTGGGATGTCAACATTTCCTGATCATTCTTAATATATTTTACAGAAATATAATATATATATATATATATATATATTTACAATATACATGTATTTCCCCCGTAATTTGATATCGTAATGTCGCGCCGGTTTCTAGTCTACTACAATTCGCTTTAATGTGGTCTGAACTCTAAAGATAATTGACTATTACAATATTGTCCTTTTTAAATGAATGTATTAAATTACTGATTAATTGTATTACACATTAGTCCGTCTTCCATTGATAAGTCAGTCCGTCTGCGGTATGCAAAATACTTATACTTTTTAAAGAACCCGAGCATTAATAATAAACGATTTGAGGGAGAGGGGGAGGTATTTATTTGAGTAGTCATTAATATTTTTGTCTTTAACGAACGTTTTATTTGTTATGTATTTATAAAGTTTCCATAAAATAATTATAATTTGGAAGGTATAATTCGAGAGAAAATAAGAAGCCTTTTAGAATTGAAAGTCATGGATTTATCTTATGACGCCAAAAAATGTAATTTAATATTTTTTTCTCTTCTCGAAGTGGTTTTATTTACTTAATTCATTATTTATGGGGTTAAGCAACACGTATTAAAATTTTTTTAAGAATAATAATATGTGGCTAATTGTCAGTTAACTTGCATGAGTTTTTATCCTAACCAATATCGGCCTATGGTAAACAATATGAACTGGAAGTTCATAATACTTACCTTTTGGATGAATTTCAGATTCATAAAAAAAAACGAAATCGATTAAGCGTTTTATTCCATTATTTTAATCGACTATAACGATTAAATTAACATTGTACACATTATGTACTTAATTTTAGTTAATGCATGTAAGACTAATGATCAGGTAGTAAATTGTATGCAAGAATAACGTACTGCTTGTTGGTGTAACTATTAATATAAATATATATTTTTGTATGTACATGTTTATTTTATATTAGGTTCAGATTAGCTATCACCGTAAACAAACGGAGCATATTTAAATGCATTTTTTTTTAACAATTTTAAATTTATACTTTAACTTATTAAACATCGATGGTCTATTTATCACTAAGCTAAAAAAACTAATAGATACTGCTATTTACGTTTGTCCCATTTGTTCACAATTTTTAGTATTAATTTGATTACATTGCAAACATTATATATTATACATAATTTATATAGTATGTCTATTGATCTTCTAACAGCTTTAAAAACGTTTTCTGCGTGTAATTGTCAACGCCTTGTGAGTATAGTATTAAGTTTTCTATTGATATTTTGATTTTTAGATAAAATACATTTTTTTACTAGAAAATAATTAAGCACCTCTATATTGCGTTACACCGATATCAGTATCTTACCGCTGACCGCTATTTTTAAGTTTAATCAATTCCAATGATGGCTGTTTTTGAATATTTTAGACACATTCAAAAAGGCGTTAGCACTTGAGGTTTTAATCTTGTATTATCGGCCTGATTGACATTTACAAACAAACCTCTCTGGGGACGTGTATCCCGTCTAGTAATGCTCAAGTTTCTGGTGTAATGAGCATAGTATTTTGTGAAGTGTGGACAGCGATCGCGTGTACGTCATTTATACAGAAGAAGATATTCTTTTAGGAGTCAATAGCGATTACATTGTTCTCTAATTGGTGTTCGTGTGCATAATCGTTTAAAATTGTTGTTAGTGGCAATTGAAATAGCGGCGTGACGAGACGACGGTTGCCATTGTTTTGAATGCAGAGTGCGTGTGTGTGTGTGTCAGTGTATATGAGTGTGTGACGGATCACTGAATAAACAATATGTGTCAAAAAAACGCGTCACCCACTAAACCTTGCTTGTTCGGTAGATAAACTCCTTTGCGAACACAAAAATCAGAACCATTAGCCAATAGGATAAAATAGTGGTAGGTATAGTGGCCGAATAGGTAAACACGGCAGAACTTCTACGCACTACGACGGGAAACCACCGCACTAAAATCCCCTTCCCCGGAAAAGGTGATGACTGTTCACTATTATACCGATTGATAACTTTAGAGATGCTAAACATTAGGATGTGGTTAAGTTTTAATTTATTCTCGGTCCAGTGTGTTTATGATGACGGGCCGGTAACTGAAATTCGTCGAACTTAGAAACGTTTCGCCTTAAACCTCTTCTATTATTTATTCGTGCGAGTTGTCGGCGGAGGTTAATTATACCGGATGTATTAAGACGAACGTTGCCCTCGTTTCGTCAAAATAAATATTACAATAGCCTTAAAAAAAATTCCTTTAAAAGACCCGCAACTTCTCTCGCATCCGGCGGATTTTGTCTCTTCGGTTGCAACGCAGAGGAGATTTTCCCTGCACCGCTTTTAAGGCCTTAATGTATCTGCATGAAAATTAATTAAAATTGACAATATATAGTAAATAGTAATATATAGTATTGGTTGTTACATTGTCGACCACTATTTAGATGGTAGCACTACTGCCGGTAGACATTAATTCTCCACTGCTGTTATCGTTTACCGTTTCGGTTATTTCCGATGTAGAAATGTGATCGATTTACATGTTTTGCCTAAATAAAGTCATTATTTGAAATAATTGATTAACCCGTGTTAAATTAAACGCTGTCGATAACGCTCGTATGTAACCAAAAACTCCGTTAAAAGAGTATTTTAAATATGACATTTTTTTTTTTATTGCTTTACGACATCTTTAAAGTCTATTACTAAAATCTTGTCGTTATGTAATCTGTTAATTTTACAAGTTGAATAATTCTAAAACAACAAAATATATTTATGTTAATAATATGCTCATACGTTTAAATGTATGACCAGGCCTTGGGACACTGATACAAATTAACACAGTAATATTACTTATCACCAGAGATGGGCAGAATTATTAATCCCGGATTACTGGATTATTTTTTAATTAATCCAAGTAATCCGTTATTCAAAATGACGGATTTATGGATTACAAATAATAATTAATTAGTATACTCTGCCCTAGTAGGTACTTTAACAAAGCTTAAGTTTATCTAGCTTAAACACATTTTATATAACTACACTTTTTTGTCAATTTGTTAAATTTTTAAAATAAATTATTTTGTTATTATTGTTTAATTTTATAATCTGAAAAAATATGATATCATACTATAATCAAGTTAACATTTTACATTTAACATTTTGAAATCTTTAGACTTTTGTATGCAGAAATCGGCTAAGCGGTTTAGTTTTGCTCCTAGTAAAAATAAAAACACATTATTGTAAAAACAATACCTCCCAGCTCCGCATAAAAGAAAAAAATGATTTAAATACATTTTATTAAAAAAAAATATATTATTTAAGTACAATGTTTTGGATTACTGGAATGAAAAAACAGTTATCTTTAAATTTGGGTTGTTAGAATAAAAAAAAAATCCTAAATTAATAATGTAATCCGTAATTCGTAAACTAGGGATTACTGGATTAATAATGTAATCTGTAATCCGAAACTCGGGATTACTGAAATAAAGTAATCCAATTTTTTTTAATCCTGGATTAATAATGTAATCCGTAATCCGTTAACTTGGGATTACTGGATTAAATTTAATCCTTAATCCAAAAGTTTGGCAAAATTGCCGTTTGTTTACATTGGAAGTTACCCTTTCTGCTTTAATCTATTCTGTGGTATGAGCATAGATGTTGTTATTTTATTTTGTCAGACTATCACAATCATTTCTATAGACAAAATTATAATTATTTTTCATTGGAATTGTTGTAAAATGACTACATTTTCATGGTAACTAGGAGAATATTACTTGCTAATCATAAATTACTTAAACGTTTTTAACTTTTCAATTACTCAGTTCACTACTTTTTAATAATTTATTGAATTATAAAAAAAATCTAAACTTTAAACATCAACATAAATAAAATTATTCGATATATCAAAAAATTACCACGCTCAAGCACAGATAAATGATAATATTCTCCTCTATTTTTCTAAGAAAACTTGGCGATTTTAGTGAAACAGTCTCTACAGTGTTGCAAATGCTGTTTTACACAAAAAGTTACGGGCGCATAACGTCCTCTTTAAACAGTAGTTTATTTAAATTAACATTTTGTCCTACAAATAAATATTTATTTTATTTGTATTTATTCAATAACACAAATATATTTATTTTTTGAGTTGGCCTTTAAATAAATTTGTATTTTTTAATGTTATTAATTTTAATCAAAACCTTATACAGTATAATTTATGTGTTGTGTCAAG